ACTTACAGAGACAATTAGATCATTTGATGCATTGGACCAATACATGCTAGATGATGTTTAACTATCCAAAATGTAAGGTGATGCATGTAGGTTTCACAAGTCAAATTATTGTTACAATTTTAATGGGAATACATTAAATACTGTGGTTGAAAAAAAAAGATCTTGGTGTTGTGATAAAAAAAAATCACTTAAGTTATTTAAACAGTGTATTGTAGCTAGCAATAGGGCTAATAGGATTTTGGGTAGCATCTGTAGAAATATTGAATACAAGACTGTATAGATCACTTGTAAGGCCTCATTTAGAGTACTGTATACAGTTTTGGGCTCCCTTCCTCAAGAAGGACATTGAATTATTGGAGAAGGTTCAGAGAAGAGCGAAGTAGAATGATACCTGGGATGGAGGGATTTTCTTATAGGAGAGACTAAAATCTCTAAATTGTTTTCCCTGGATGGAAGGGTCAGAGGGGATTTTATTTAAGTATTTCAAATTATTAAGGGGTATTAATAATATAATCAAACTTTTTTTGTATTTAGCAGTGAAAACAATAGGACAAAGGGGCATAAGTTCAAATTTTGGCAGCATATGAGTCGTCTGCAATTTAGACAGTATTACTTTCTAAACAGGGTGGTTGCCTTTTAGAATGAACTACCTTTAAGGGTGGTGGAGGTGGAACATTTAACTGAGTTCAAGAAAAGATTGGATGAATACATGAGTATTAAGGGGTGATTATAGTTGGGAGCTGGAAGGGACATCCTTGATGAGTTAATAAGCTCCTTTTTATGAAACTTATGAACTTACATGTAGCTTTTTAATTAGTTCTGAGCTGTACAGTTATTTTACTTTTGATCATAAGTTATAAATAACTGTAGTTAGCCTCATAGTAAAATATTAAAACTGGCTACAGTAATGATAATATTACTATAATACTGATGTATATTAGTTATATTTCCTTATTATGACAAATAACATGGCCAGTAAGTTTTAAAAAACAAAGTTTGCAATGCAGTCTATAAAAACAAAAGATGTAACTTTTAAGAGGGTTACATTGAATAAAGTTTGTCTTTTTTTTTCTCTCTAGCTTGATGAGAATAAGTAGTTAATTATTTTTCATGAATTCCCTTCCCAGTTTAGGCAGATGACTTTTCACCTATAAAAGATTGCTAAAAATTAGTAACATTATGAAAACATCATGTCCAATATCTATTAATACTAGGTACAATCGTTTGTGGTGACTATAGGTGGAAAGGCCCATGCACAAAAGTGGTAGATGCATTTGATGTGTGTGATAAAACTTTGTAATTTCTCATTATTCCCAGTTTACTAACACAAAAGGTGTTTATAAATATTGGAGGCCTATTTAAAGACTAATTCTACCATATTAGATACCTTTTTGGGGTATTTAATTAACATAATGTACAGATGACAAGAGACCAGTTACTCTTCCAAGACTATCTACGCACAACCACCCTTGAAAAAAATAAGAATTTAAACCAACCCTTTATTTTTCAAGAAATCATTGACTCCCCTCATAAATTCTTGGCCTCTGCTATAACCAATGGCAACTCATTTCTATAAGTCAATCACCTTCTTATAAAAAAAAAATACCTTCTTAACTGGAGCTTAATCTTTTTCTCTTAATCTCAAACTTCTCTCACTCTGTTGCCTTCAGAATAAGGATCAAAGAAACCAGAGTTCTTTATCCTGTTGATACTCTGAATAATTTTCTAAACTTCATTAAGATCATGTCTTACTGTTCTTTTCTCAACTGAAAATAAGTTAATAGGTTTTAACCTCTCCCTGTAAGATAATCCCATCTGTAACCTCCTCTGAACCCTTTCCAATATACCTAGCAATTAAGTCATTATATGCTTTACAGAACTGTAAGGAGAAGTATATCTGTGTCAAATAAGAAACTTTTAGTTAATTGTATGCTGAAATTTTAAATGTTTGTTTTTCTTCCCCTGGTAGTGAAGCAAGCTATTTCTTTAGTCATGAATCTAGAAGTTAAATTCATTTTAAAATGATATAAATTCATCATTCATTAATTATGTTACAAACTATATAAACATGTATACTAGAACAGATTGGTGATACTGTGAGTGATGAGACATGTTACTAGGTTGACTTTAGTTTGTTATAAACTATATAAACATGTACACTAGAACAGATTGGTAATACTGTGAGTGATGAGAAATGTTACTAGGGTGACTTTAGTTTATGTTACAAACTATATAAACATGTATACTAGAACACCAATCTCCTAGTAACATGTCTCATCAGTCACAGTATTTTGTTAT